CCAAAATTCCCAAAAATTCCCAAAAAACCCCCCAAAAATCCCAAAAAAATTCCCAAAAATTCCCAAAAAATCCCCAAAACATTCCCAAAAAATCCCTAAAAAATTCCCAAAAAACCCCCCCCAAAATTCCCAAAAAACCTCCAAAAATTCCCAAAAAATCTCCCAAAAACCCCTAAAAAATCCCCAAAAAATTCCCAAAAGCGCCCCAAAAAATTCCCAAAAAATTCCCAAAAAATCCCCAAAAAATCCCCAAAAAAATCTCCCAAAAATTCCCCCCAAAATTAAAAAAAAACCCCACAAAAATCCCCCCAAAATTCCCCAAAAATTCCCAAAAAAACCCCAAAAAATTCCCAAAAAATCCCCAAAAAATCCCCAAAAAATCCCCAGAAAATTCCCAAGAAAACCCAAAAATATTCCAAAAAAACCCCCAAAAATTCCCAAAAATCCCCCCAAAAATCCCAAAAATTCCCCAAAAATTCCCCCGAAAATTCCCCCTAAAAAATTCCCCAAAATCCCCCAAATTCCCGAATTTCCGCACCTGGAGACGCCTTTGGGCACCGGGAGCTGCAGCCGGACGTTGATGGCGTGGCTGGAATTTGGGGTTTTTTTGGGGGGAAAAACCAGGAATTGGGGAAAATCCGGGAATTTTGGGAAAACCCCGCAATTCCCGAGGCCGAAAATTCCCGGATTTTCCCCGAATTTTCCCAAATTTTCACCTTTTGGGGGGGAGGTCACAGCGGAGCTTGAGATAAATCCGGATTCTGCAACAAAAAAAAGGCAAAAATGGGGAAAAACCCCCGGGAATTTTGGGAATTTTGGGAATTCCCTCGGGGGAATTGGGGAAGGGGAAAAACCCCCCCCAAAAAAATTCCCAAAGTTTGGGAAATTCCCAAAAATCCCGCTTGGAAATGAGGGAAAAACTCTTGAAAATGGGAGAAAATTCCCTAAAAAAAAGGGAAAAATGGGGGAAAAAAGGGAAAAAACGCAGGGAAAAATGGGGAAAAATTAAAATAAAATAAGGGAAATTTGGGAATTGTTGAAATGGAATTTTGGGAATTTTTTCCTGGGTTTTTTTTTTGGGAATTTTTTACCTTCCCCCCGGTTCTTCTTCCACGGTGGGGAAAAGGCGGAAGGGGAGCGGGGCTGGGATTTCGTCCTGGACCTGGTACTGCATCAGCGTCATCTGCGGGAATTCCCGGAATTCCGGGGGAAAATCCGGGAATTCCGGCAGGTCCGGGGGGGTCGGGGAGCCTGGAGTCCCCAAAAATCCCAAATCTCCCCAAAAATCCCTCCCAAATTCCCAAAAATCCCCAAAATCTCCCCAAAAATCCCTCCCAAATCCCCAAAAATCCCCAAAAATCCCAAAATCTCCCCAAAAATCCCTCCCAAATTCCCAAAAATCCCCAAAAATCCCTCCCAAATCCCCAAAAATCCCCAAAAATCCCTCCCAAATCCCCAAAATCTCCCCAAAAATCCCTCCCAAATCCCAAAAATCCCTTCTGGAGTCCCAAAATTCCCCTGGAAAATCCCAAAAATCCCCCAAAATCCCTCCCAAATCCCCAAAATCTCCCCAAAAATCCCTCCCAAATCCCAAAATCTCCCCAAAAATCCCTCCCAAATTCCCAAATCTCCCCAAAAATCCCTCCCAAATTCACAAAAATCCCCAAAAATCCCTCCCGAATTCCCAAAATTCCTCTGGAAAATCCCAAATCTCCCCAAAAATCCCTCCCAAATTCCCAAAATTCCTCAAAAATCCCCCAAAATCCCTCCCAAATTCCCAAAAATCCGTTCTGGAGTCCCAAAATTCCCCTGGAAAATCCCAAATCTCCCCAAAAATCCCTCCCAAATCCCCAAAAAATCCCCAAAAATCCCTCCCAAATTCCCAAAAATCCCTCCCAAATTCCCAAAATCTCCCCAAAAATCCCTCCCAAATTCCCAAAAATCCCCAAAAATCCCTCCCAAATCCCCAAAATCTCCCCAAAAATCCCTCCCAAATCCCCAGAAATCCCCAAAAATCCCCAAAAATCCCTCCCAAATCCCCAAAAATCCCCAAAAATCCCTCCCAAATCCCCAAAAATCCCTCCCAAATCCCCAAAATTCCCCTGGAAAATCCCAAATATCCCCAAAAATTCCATAAATTCCTTCCTGGAGTTCCAGAATTGCCTGGAAAATCCCAAAAACCCCCCCAAATCTCCCCTAAATAATCCAAAATTGCCCCAAAAATCCCTCCTTGGAGGCCCAAATTCTCATTTTTCCCCTCCAAAAAATGCCATTTTCTCCCCCAATAATTCCCATTTTCCCCCCAAAAAATTCCCATTTTTTTTCTGCCTAAAATTCCCATTTTTTCCTTTCCAAAATCCCATTTTACCCCCCCAAAATTTCCATTTTCCCCCCCAAAATTCCAATTTTTCCCCTCAAAAATCCAATTTCTCCCCCCAAAAAACCCAATTTTCCCAAGAAATTCCCATTTTCCCCCCAAAATTCCAATTTTTCCCCTTAAAAATCCGATTTCTCCCCCTAAAATTCCCATTTTCCACTAAAAATTCCCATTTTCCCCCCCAAAAAATTCAATTTCCCCCCTAAAATACCGTTTTTTCTCACTAAAATTCCCATTTTCCCCCCCAAAAATTCAGTTTTTTCCCCAAAATACCGTTTTTTCTCACTAAAATTCCCATTTTCCCCAAAAATTCTTTTTCCCCCAAAAAAATTCAGTTTTCCCCCAAAAAATTCAATTTCCCCCCCAAAATACCGTTTTTTCTCTCAAAAATTCCCATTTTCCCCCCAAAATTCCCAATTTTCCCCCCAAAATTCCCATTTTCCCCCCCAAAAAATTCAATTTTTTCCCCAAAATACCGTTTTTTCTCCCAAAAATTCCCATTTTCCCCCCAAAAAAATTCAATTTTCCCCCAAAATCCCCATTTTCCCCCCCATTTTTCCTCCCAACCCCCCCGGAATTCCCCGGAATTCCCCGGAATGTTCCGGAACGTTCCGGAAGCTCCCGGCCCCGACCTCTCCCTGGCTGGGGGAGACCCTCAGGACCCTCCCGGAGCCGAACTCGTCCAGGCGGATGGAGCTGTGGAAGGAGCACTCGTCCACCCGCACCGGCGCGCCGTAGCCTGCCGGGAAACGCCGCCATGCCGGGAAAATCCGGGGAATCCCGGAGAATTCCGGAAAATTCTGGGAAATTCCCCAGTCCTGGGGCCTTTTTTGGATTTTTTTGGGGTTTTTTTGGGGTTTTTGGGGGGAAAAATGGGATTTTTGGGGGGGTAGGAAGGGGGAAAAATGGGATTTGGGGGAATTCCGGGAAAATTCCGGAAAATTCCGGAAAATTCCGGGAAATTCCCCAGTCCTGGGGCCTTTTTTGGGGTTTTTTTGGGGTTTTTTTGGGGTTTTTTGGGGGTTTTTTTGGGGAAAAATGGGATTTTTGGGGTGGTAAAAAGGGGGAAAAAATGGGATTTTGGGGAATTCCAGGAAAATTCCGGAAAATTCCCCAGTCCTGGGGCCTTATTTGGGGTTTTTTTGGGGTTTTTTGGGTTTTTTTGAGGAAAAATGTGATTTTTGGGGGGGTAGGAAGGGGGAAAAAATGGGATTTGGGGGAATTCCGGGAAAATCGGGAGAATTCCGGAAAATTCCGGAAAATCCCAGAGTCCCAGGGCCTTTTTTGGGATTTTTTTGGGGGGGAAAAATGGGATTTTTGGGGTGGTAAAAAGGGGGAAAAATTGGATTTGGGGGAATTCCGGGAAAATCTGTGAAATCACGGAAAATTCCAGAAAATTCCGGAGTCCTGGGACCTTTTCTGGGCTTTTTTTGGGGTTTTTTTTGGGGGGAAAAATGGGATTTCTGTGGGGGTAAAAAGGTCCTGGAAGGGGGGAAAAAAGGAAAGCGGGGAGGGAAATTTTGGGATTTGGGGACGCTGGAGGGGATTTTGGGGGGAAAATGGGAATTTCAGGATTTGGGGACGCTGGAAGGGATTTTGGGGAAGATTTGGGGTTTTCCAGGAATTCTGGGGGGGGTCTCACCTCTCAATTCCGATTTTCCCACGCAAAATTCCTCCGTGAGGCCGATCAGGAGCTCTGGGGGGGAAAAAGGAGGGTCAGGAACCCCAAATTCCCTCAAAATCCCCCCAAATTCCCTCAAATCCCCTCAAATTCCCTCAAATCCCCTCAAAATCCCTCAAATCCCCTCAAAATCCCACAAAATTCCATCAAAATCCCACAAAATTCCGTTTTCCCGCCTTTTTTTCCCCCCCCCTTCCAGGACCCTTTCGCCCTCAGGAAATTCCCTTTAATTCCGGCCAAAACTCCCTTAAATTCACCCCAAATCCACCCAAAATTCCCCCCAGATTTTTGGGACCCTCCAGGATCCCCAAATTCCCTCAAAATCCCCCAAAATCCCCTCAAACATTCCCCAAATCCCTTTTCCCGCCCATTTTTCCCCTTCCAGGACCTTTTCTCCCTCACAAAATTCCCTTTAATTCGCCCCAAATTCCCCCAAAAATTCCCTTAAATTCGCCCAAAATTCCCCCCAAATTTTTGAGACTCTCCAGGATCCCCAAATTCCCTCAAAATCCCCCAAAATCCCCTCAAACATTCCCAAAATCCCTTTTCCCGCCCTTTTTTCCCCTTCCAGGACCCTTTAGCCCTCATGAAATTCCCTTTAATTCCCTTCAAAAACCCCAAATCCCTCCAAAACTCCCTCAAAAAAACCCCCAAAATTCCATTTTCCCCCCTTAAAACTCCGATTTCCCCCCCCAAATTCTGATTTTTCCCAAATTTTTGAGGAAAACCCCCCACAAAAAAATCGCCGAGACCCCAAAACCGCCGGAATTCTCCCCAAATTTACCGACGCAGGGGGGGAGGTAACACTTGAGGCGAATCTCTCCCTGCACGTCCACCTTCAGGGGGGTTCCCTGCCCCAAAAAATCCGGGATTTCGGGAATTTTTTCGGCATCTGGGACCCCCCCCTCCCCCACCCCGATTTTGGGGTAATTTCTGGGGTTTTTGGGGTTTTTAATTTTTGGCTCACGTTGGCGGCGATGACGACCGAGAGGCGCTCGAGGACGTCGACGAAAACTTCGGGTTTGAGGGGCTGGGGGGGGTGAATTTTGAGGTTTTGGGGAGGATTTGGGGATTTTTGGGGTTTTTTTTTTTGGGGGGAATTTTGGGGGTTTTTAGGAAATTTTTGGGGTTTTTTTGGGGTTTTTTTTTTTTTGAGAGGTTTTGAGGGGATTTGGGGATTTTTATTTTTATTTTTTGGGGCTTTTTTTTTTTAAGGGGTTTTTTGGGGAATTTTTGGGGATTTTTTTTGAGGGGATTTTGGGGAATTTTGGGGGGGATTTTTTTGGGGAATCCCTGGGATTTTTTTAGGGAATTCCAGGATTTTTTAGGGAATTCCTGGAATTTTTAGGGAATTCCTGGGATTTTTTAGAGAATTCCAGGATTTTTTTAGGGAATTCCTGGGATTTTTTAGGGAATTCCTGGGATTTTTTTTGGAATGCCGGGATTTTTTAGGGAATTCCAGGATTTTTTTTGGGAATCCCTGGGATTTTTTAGGGAATTCCAGGATTTTTTAGGGAATCCCGGGAATTTTTGGGGGGAATTTTGGGAATTCCGGGCTGGGATTTGTGGGAATTTCGGGAATTTCGGGCTGGGATTTGTGGGAATTTCGGGAATTCCGGGAATTTTGGGCTGGGATTTGTGGGAGTTTCGGGAATTCCGGGCTGGGATTTGTGGGAATTTCGGGAATTCCGGGCTGGGATTTGTGGGAATTCCGTGAATTTCGGGCTGGGATTTGTGGGAGTTTCGGGAATTTCGGGAATTTTGGGAATTTTTGGCTCCCACCTGGTCCCCCCGGGGCGGGGGGAGGGGTCTGGTGGCCGCCCCCCCCGGCGCCACCCGGCTCTGCTGCGTCTCCGCCCCGAACTGCGGAGAAAAAAAACACCCAAAAATCAAAATTTTGGGGAGATTCCGGGGTTTTTCCCGGGGTTTTTTCCAGGATTTTTTTTTGGGGAATTTTTGGGGGGATTTGGGGATTTTTTTTGGGTTTTTTTGGGGGTTTTTGGGCACTCACCAACCCCACGGATCCCAGGTCGAGGAGGCTGAAGGGTTTGGGGCTCTCGGGCTCCGACTGCACCAGGCTCCGAAGGATCTCGGGGCTCGTGGTCTGGATGTGGCCAAAATCCTGGGAATTCCGGGGAAAACCGGGAATTTTGTTGGGGATTTTTTTGGGATTTTTTTAGGGATTTTTTGGGGATTTTTTGGGGGATTTTTGGGGAATTTTTTGAATTTTTTTGGGGATTTTTGGGGAATTTTTTGGATTTTTTGGGGGATTTTTTGGGGATTTTTGGGGAATTGTTTGGATTTTTTTGGGATTTTTTTAGGATTTTTGGGGAATTTTTTGGATTTTTTTGGGTATTTTTGGGGGATTTTTTTTGATTTTTTGGGGGATTTTTGGGGAATTTTTTGGATTTTTTTGGGGATTTTTGGGGGATTTTTGGGGAATTTTTTGGATTTTTTT